ATATATATAATTATACACATGAATGTCTAAACTTTTGTTTGTACACCCTAATGCAATAGGCTGTGCATGTCCATGCTATGCCTTCTTTGATCTTTGAGCATGAGAGGGAAGCTGCACAGCATAAAATCCTGTCACAAAAGGCAGCAGTCCTACATAGAAGTGCATACTCAACCGGGTTATATCTGTGAGGTCTTATAGAAAACTGCACATATGGATATTTGGATAGCGTGAGCAATTCACCGATTCACCAGTTGTTGATTTTAGTAATTTTTTCAAATCCAAAGATGCCATCAGCAAGGTGATAATATGGTGGATGCGATCCCCACACGAAAGACTATAAGAGAGGAATCCACTGCAATCGGGATCTGTGTATATTTACAAGGAACTATATACAGCAAACCAATATGTAAAATTTCTATTGACAAAAGTGTTAAACTTTGGACTTTGAGTATATTGCCTTTGCTCTATTACAGCATGTCCAAAATGTATACTACGTCATAGAAGATAATCTTCTAAACATTATATATAAATATACATGTACAAATTTGGCATATTTCTCTGCCCTGGAGTCACAGGTGGCAATCAATGACAGGCTGGTTGCACACAGGCGGCCATGTGCATGAGGCCTAAAGTGTATTAGAAGCTCTTTTTTTCTGGTTTGGATGGAGTAGTGAGCAAGTAGAATCTCTGTCAGACTTGTATTAATGTCTGGGTCCCTGTTAAGGTGCCCATACACTTTACAACCCTTGCAAGACTTTTGTCTTGCGAGGGTTGTAAAGTACTTAAAAAAACGTACGATCTGCCCATCTTGGACAGGCAGATCGTACTTGCGATCATCGCAAGCCCGCCCCCCTGATTCCCGGCAGGTTTTCTAGCCTGCTGGTTCGACGGAAGACGTGCGACCGTACAGTAGAAACAGTCGCGCGCCTTCCATACACTGCACGATTCTCGTACGATCGCGGGATTTCCCGCGATTCTCGTACGAGAATCGTGCAGTGTATGGGCACCTTTAGGGACAATCATTCTCTGTATACTGTGCTCTCACCAGAACTGAAAGTGAAAGAAAATCCAAAATTGTGCTAGGGGCTTGTTCACACCTTGTCTATTTTCTGCACACCACCGCACATGTATGGTGTGAAGAGGGCACATAGAAAACAACTGCTTTCTACGTATCCTGTTCCTAAGACATGGTGTGACATGGTGTTCCTTTCACACCTTGTCTATTTTCTGCACACCACCGCACATGTATGGTGTGAAGAGGGCACATAGAAAACAACTGCTTTCTACGTATCCTGTTCCTAAGACATGGTGTGACATGGTGTTCCTAAGACATGGTGTGACATGGTGTTCCTAAGACATGGTGTGAACCAGCCCTGAGAGGGGATTTCCTTCCATTTGGAGAGATTTTATCTCACTCCTGTTGTGTCTAGAGGACAGGAAGTAAAGGGAAATCTTTGCAGTGGGACACAGATGGAAAAAAACAAAACCTGACAGTGGTTTTACTCATTTCCTACTCTATTGAACAATAAAAGTTGTAGCTTTAGATATACATTTGGACTTCATGCCTCTATATGTCATAATACCGTAGCCAAGAAGTCAGTCATCAACATGCTACAGAATTTTTTTAAATTACTGGGGGGTTAATTCATAAAAGTTTGCATGGCACTAGCGCCCCTGGATGGTGCTGACAAGTATAGGAAATTCCTATACTTAGAAATGCCAGCCAGGGGCACTAGTGGAATGCCAGGGGCATCCATCTGGCTATACATTGGGTGGAACTTTTATAAATTAACCCCTAGACACCACCCCTAGTGGTGTCTATAGTCACCATTCCTTCTCAGGATGTTATTACTGTCAATGGAGGAGTGATCATGGGTTTCTAGCTCAAACGATCACAAATCAGATGGGCACAGACACAAATTATTTTGGTCGGCTGTTCTATGTTATCAGCTAACCGGCACGTAAGCTGCACTCCCACTTCCAGGAACTAATGCAAAATTGTTAATCATATTCAGAGATATAAACAATTCTGTGATAAGAAACTATACAAATATTTTTACATCTACTAAAATTATTCTTTAAAGCCTGTCTCTGGGTATAAATAAAAAAAACTACCCTTGTAGTGGAGTTACCTCTGCACTCCAAGGGATAAGTGCTCATTTTTGTCTAGGGAGACTCTCTAAAGAATTTTTAATTACCTGATCCCCGCTTCAGCTGGTTCTAGGACTGGCAACCAAAGCCTCTTCTCCACTACGCTTTGGTGGTCAGAGGCCTGCTGATGTCATCACTTCTAAAGCAGGATCCTCAGCTCTGCATTATACTTGAGGACAGCAAGAGACAGCCCAAGAGGTGAAGATCAGGTAAGTAAAAGTGCTTTAGAGAATCGCCATGAATAAAAACGAGCAGTTAACCCTTGCAGCATGGGGGCAACCCCTCTACAAGGACATTTTTTTTTTTACCCCCGAGATGGGCTTTAGGTAGTGGTTTTATGGTACCATTAATTTTATTACATTTTACATTTCAACATTTTTGGTTAAGATTTGTCATAGTTGGAAAAATAGAACAACTGCATTCCTGGCACATAAAGTGGCAAATTACAACACAGCCGAACTTAAGTCACAGTGTCATTTTTTTTGTCTTTGAAAAGAAAGCACGATTTTTCTTTACGGGATAGGTGGGGGATTCGGAAGTGATGGGCGGCATCATCCCCTACCTTCTCTCTGCAAGACGAGTTCCTCCGTGGTATTGAGTGCTCTCCCTGTCAAAACACAAGAATCAAGATAGACCATAGTAAATCAAGCAATAAAACAAAAGCTGAAAAATGATATAAGGAGCAGTGATGTGCTGTTACCCAAAGCAACCAATCAGATTATATTTAGATTAGATTACATCAATGGAAACAGTAGAAGATGTTAAGACTTATTTAAATAGCTATCATATCAGCAAGACCCATTTTTTTTAGGTATGCTGTAAAGATGAGCTCCACATAGAACAAGTATGTCAGCTTTACATGCTTGCTGTAATGTTGAAATATAAGTGGTATCTTGAAGACTCTAGTGGTAATATATCCTCATCACGCTTTCCACTTCCCCCACTTCTGTCCAAAGCTAAATCATGAACACAACCCAAAGAATTGTCTATAATGTGGAGAAATAAGTGGGGAACACACCTACAAGAGAGACATCTTCATTGTGGCCTTGTGAAAGGAGGAGAGACACCTAGTAGAGGACATTGGAAGCTCATGGAGCCCACAAATACCACAACTAATTAGCAGGGGAGTTCTCCTTTAACAACATGTTACCATACTCCCTATTCTGCTTGAAGAATTAGGTTCTTCATTAATTATAATTATAACTGGAAATGGCAAAAACTCACACAGCCAGTAGTTCTAATCCTACAATTCCTAAGCATCATGGTCACCTTGACATCCAATATACAGTACTACAGTGTGTGCAGAGGTAATGTAAGTTTATGGAAATACATTGGCATGTTGAAGGATATCTACTAATACCAACTAATTATAATGGACAACTCACCTCTTTTTTGCAAGATATTATTATGAAAGACATTAGATATTCCAGAGACGGACATGCTTTGGAATATATCGGCACTTCTGAACTAATATCATTATTATGGTACCCTCTAGTGTCCAATGTAGGAATGTCCTCTTAAATCAGAAAAAACATGAACCACACCGATAAACACCAAAAACTGTGTTACATACATAGTTACATAGTATTTGGGGTTGAATAAAGACATACGTCCATCAAGTCCAACCCATATAGGTCCACGCATCATCTCATTCTTAGGGATACTGGTATCCCTGGATATTACGGACCCTCAAGAAATTGTCCAAACGTTTCTTGAACAAATTTACACTCTTGGCTGAAATCACTGCCGATGGCAGTGAGTCCCAGACCTTAACCACTCTTACTGTAAAGAACCCTCTTCGCCCATTGTGCTGGAATTTTTTCTCCACCAACTTTAGGTGGTGGCCTCTAGTCTTTGTAATGGAGTTAATCTCAAACAGTTTGTTGCCAATGTTGCCGTCACCATTGAACATCTTGTACATGAAAATCATATCCCCCCTTAATCTCCCTAATTCCAGCCTTTAAGGTCAGAAGCCTAGTGTCATAGCTCTGGTCCTCCATTCCCCTAATTAGTTTTGTTGCCCTCCGCTGGACTCTCTCCAGTTCAAAGGACTACCCCCTGACTCACTGACACTCCCCTTTACCCTACTCTGTTCTTCTAAAACCCTACAAATGGTGTTTAAATGTAACCTGAAAGGTTATAACGTTACACTGACTGCATTAAAGTATACATATGACACAGGTAAATGATTTGATATATGCCAGCTTGTGGTACCCAGAACGCCTGAGCTCCTTATCCCCATCCACCCATAGCCTGCAGTGCAGTGATCAGGGAGTCGGGGTCAGCGATGTGCAGATGAGAACATTCTACATATGACTATCCCCACCTAAAAATACTTTATTCTGGCTTTATATTAACTTACTATAATGCCTTGCACAGAAGTAGTCTAGGATTACAGTACAGGGCAAAACTGGGACCTCCTGCCGTTCTCCCAATCATGTTATATAACCCTTTATCAGCTCTGTAACTTCGAGCTCTGGTTAGTCCCCTACCCCAATATCCCATATTACAAAGTGGCAGCCAATATTCTCAAATAAGAGTGACGTCAATGATTTCAGGAAGTTTGTGTCTATGCCACCCAGGTGTAAAGAAGCTTTAGACACATTTTAAAAATACTAGCTGGCTGTTTTTCTGGCTGTTTATCATTTAAAACTGAACACTGGGATAAGTAAATATTGTAAATACTAGAGGCACGTGTATTCTTACATAAATGTTGGTGTTCTTTGTGTATTTCTTTCAGATCTGTGCAGTAATGAAACATTTATTCTGTTCAGCGGCTGTCTTTGATCAAGACTAGTCACTGTTGCTTTCTTTTTCTGTGCAGGGCGACTGGTCTTGAATCTGCCCCCAACCTGTAGTGGGTGGAACCTGCTGGGTCCCTCCCACAGACCTGCTTTCTGTACAGGCTATGTTACTTTTGCATGGTACGTGCGCCAACCAAAATGTTATTATTTTATGTTCTGAATAGACATAGGAAGATAAATACTTCTAAGTTTTAATTGCTGTCTGTGAACCTATTGAGGAGATTTCACTTCCCTGTGACATCAGAGCAAGAAGTAAGGGGACTAGTAATCACTGGAAGTAAGAGGGACACAGAAAGTATTTGTAGCCACCTTGCCCTAAGCGGGGTGACTCCTTCAATTTGTTTCTGTTGGACTGTATCCAGTCTATGCTAATTTGATAGTCTGTGCTCATTTGGTTTCCCCTAAGCGCCCTGTTATCGTTTGTATGTGCCTGCTGCTGGGTGTGACCTTGCAATAGAGCAGAACATCCAATAATGAGTTATGAATAGGTGTCTCCCTAGCCAATCACTAGGAGGTTCATGACCAGTGGTACATGCTGGGGGAGGACATAAATATTCAGGGCTGACTTGTGAGACTTTCCCCCGGCACCCCAGGCCCCTGCCTGGGGGAGGATGCAAAATTTGATGAGCTAGGCCTGCAGCCTGCTGGTTGTCAGGGATAAAGATCCAATGCTGGGGTCTGCAGCTGTCCTGCCAGTAAAGTGTCTGAGATGGAGAACCAGGGAGGAACTTCGTCTGCTGAAGGTGCCAGAGCAGCCAGGATTGGGCTTGAACTAGGGTTGCCACCCGTACGGGAATCACCCGGACAGTGCGGGTTTTGAACCCTGTGCCCGGGCGGGAGGCCGCCGCTCCCCCGTACTTGGTGGCACCATGGCGAGCGGTGGGTAGCAGGGAGAAAGCAGCAGTCAGCGAGCACCAGGTGGCGCTGTTTTCAGTAGCTCGATTCTCTCTCTCTCTCACTCCTTTGATCCTCCGTTGGCTGGCACTGTGTGAGTCAGAGAAAGTGACATCACCGAGAGAGCAGAGAGGGAGAAGTCATTCTCCAGCAGTCGGCATGGACAGCGCTTTCATCTTAACATTTTTTTTTAATAACAATTGAAAGGAAAGGGGGGGGGGAGAAGAGGGGGGAAAGGGGGTGAGAAGGAGGGGGAATGAGGGGTTGGTATAACATTACAGTATGTCATGCTGGTTGTAATATTGTGAAAGGGGCCCTGTTGTTTTGGCTGTGCAGGCACCCCTGGAGGTGTTTGGGCTTGTTCACACCCATTGCGGTGCGTTCCAGAGCGGTAGCTGCTGGAACGCACAGTAATCATACAGTAAACTCCCCCCCCCCCTTCGTTCTGGGCGGGGGCATGGCGTTATATTGAGGTCAATGGCACTGCAGCCACGCCCCAGATCCGCAGTGTGATCGGACGCGTGACAAAACATTGCCTGCGTTCCGGTCCAGTGTGGCTTCAATGGACCGTCACGTCCTCTCCTACCCCAGAACGAAGAGGGGAGTTTGGTATGCGATTTAACTTAAGTGCATTTTTTAGTGAAAAATGCACTAAAGTTAAATGTAGTGCCCCAAAACACAATAAAATACTTTTTTGTAAAAATGTACATTATTTTTACATTTATTTTATTTTTAAAACTGTTTTTTTTTAAACTTTACTTTAATTGCTATCACATAGGGGGTGCTTACAAGCCCCCATGTGATAGCATATTAGCAGTGAGAGGTGCTCTTTAAGGTGATGCTGGGGGTCCAAAAAAGACCCCCAGTGTCACCTTTACACTCTAAATAAGGTATTTAAGTGCAGATCGCAGGCTTCGGGAGCCCAGCACTGACAGCTATGGGTCCGGAAGTGATGTAATCTGCATCGCTCCAGGTCTAGGGTTGCCACCCGTACGGGATTCACCCGTACAGTCCGGTTTTTTAGTCTTGTGCCCGGGCGTCACGCCAGCTGACGCCAGGACACAAAACACTAAGTTCCGTTACCAGAACTTTACATTTTTCTTAGAACTTCGGCTGCCGAGGAGGTCCGGCGCTTCTGCTGAAATGTTGACCCAGCCTCACATCACAGACATGTGAGACCTGGAGACGATCAGGATGCTGCCAAGGCAGGTAAGGGTTAACAGTGGTGGGTGGGTGTGCTGGTTGACGGCAGAAGCCAGAGGCGGCTGAACCGGAGATCGGTTGTTGCTGATGGCGGGGAAACAGCTGAGAAGAGGGGGGAGCGGGGGAAGATGGATGGAGGGTGAGTGGCGAGGTTCTAACTTTGTGACACTTTGTTTGCACCCTGATCGGTGCCCAGCCCAGGCAATGTTTGTGACCACATTAACTATGTGTAGGCCAGCTCAGGGTATTGCTTATGCATCTGATTAGACTCATAAGCAATACACTGAGCCTAATCATTAGAGGAACCCGACCCATTAGAGGTACAGTAGATGTATTGTCTCTCCAGCACACATTCCATTCATTACATTATGGAATGTGTAACATTATACCTGTTGCCAGTACGAATCACATTGGGAAGCAGTGGGTTAACCCATACATCACTGCTTCCCTGCCGATCCCCCTAGTGCAGCTCTTCTGCAGAAGTTGTCACGTGTGATGATAATGTCATAATACAAATGGCTACTACTGTCAGAATCCAGTTCACTTTAATCAGCTTGCTTTAGTGCTCATTCACACCAGTTGGAGTGCGTTCTGGCTGGATTCCGGCCCGAACGCACTGCCTCGCATTGCGGCCAGCTCACTTTTTGGTGGGGCAGGAGGGTGTGGTGGGCCATTGAAGTGAATGGCACCGTAGCCACGCCCTCCGGCCGCAATGCGATCGCCCGCACGGGATCGCAAGGCACATTGTGCCTGCGGTCCAGTCCGGTGCGATCAAAATGCTGCAAGCACTATTTTGATCGCACCGGACCACAGGCACAATATGTGCCTTGCGATCCCTTGCAGGCGATTGCATTGCGGCCGGAAGGCGTGGCTACGCTGCCATTCACTTCAATGGCCCGCCACGCCCCCTCCTGCCCACCAAAAAGTGAGCCGGCCGCAATGCCAGGCAGTGCGTTCAGGACAGAATCGGGACAGAACGCACTGCAACTGGTGTGAACGGGCCCTTATTGTCACATTTATAGATTTCTATCTGTATGGAGAGGACTGCAGTATGCTGAGAATGATTTGGTGTGAATGCTGTGTAACATGGTTATTCATTTAGATACAGGTATTGCTGGGATGTGTAGTCCTCTGGACCCCTGGCAAGACACCACATAGCCTTCCTGAAAGCCTGCACAGCCCACCCGAGAGCCCGCGGAGTCCTCAACCGAGAGCCACCCCAGAACAACACAAAGTATGTAGCCCCATATTATTTTGTATTGCTGGGATTTGTAGTCCTCTAAAGATAGTCTTCTTACTCTTTCTCCTGTCTGCCTATTCGCCCCACCCAAACCCCCCGACTGTGCGCAGCACTGGAGTGTTCGGGTTTCACCCGAAGAAAAGGTGGCAACCCTAGCTTGAAAGTAAAGTCTGGTGCCTTGCCCAGAAAGTTCTGCGCTATGTCTGCTGACCAGCTTAGGTTCTGCAATACACAGTGATTGCAGTGTTACTGTAATCAGTTTAAAGGCCCTCTGCACTATGACGATGGTGGGTTGTCAGTGTGTCCTGAGTCATACTGTTCTAGGTGTCTGTAGCCCTTTACCCTTGCTCCAAAGTGAGCTGTCAGCAAAATAATATCTTTGAAAACCCTTAAAGTGACTGGCGCCCAACTTTACATTCACATCCCGCAAACGGCTAAGGCCCCGCCCTGAGGTGCAATGTCAGCCCATACTGCCCCTGGGGTCCCGTACATGCTTCTGGGGTCAGGGGTGTGCTACATAGTAATAAACTGACACAGGTTACAACATTTCTGGTCCCCACTGAAAAGACTTCCCACCACTTCCCACCAGAAAACAATATCTCCAATGGGGTCATATACATCGGGAAAGAAAGGGACAGATATTTTATCTCTTCCCCACTCTGTCCAAAACAAAAGTTTTGAATGGAGTTGGGCTTTAAGAGTCATTGTGGATGTGTCTTATTTTACAGGTGCTGCAGAAGCCTATACAGACCAATCTAGATTCGGCATACATTCTAAATAAAGCTTTTTACTCCATCTTTGATTCTTTGCTGAATTAATCGGTTACCTTTAAGGACACTTACACTCTATGGTGTCATGTACTATAACTACCAATCGTTCTTGTAATTCACCTACCAGAGATGTGGAACGTTTTGTCCGAAAGCGCAGCTGCTTCTCAAATAATTCAGAGAATTCCTGTATGGAATTGGATCGTTTTTTCTGTCCATTGCTCTCAGGCACCGAGGTTTCCACTGAGAACAGTTTACTTATCTTGGTGTGGTTGTTGCTTTTGCTGTCCTTGTCCTCTCGAGGTTCCTTATAACCCTTCAGATAGACTGGAGACGGTGCCTTAGAGGTCGAGTGGAATCGAGCCGCATGCATGGCAGTAAGCTGGGCCTGAAAAAGCAGTATGAACATTTAATTATTATGGACAGCAGCAATCACTATAATCATTAATAAATCATGACAAAATTAAAGGACACCTGCCATGAAACAAGTTGGCTGCTATTTCTGAAACAGCTAGTTTCTGACTGTCATGGTGATCTTCTGAGTGTCTTATTGAGTCAGCTGGAAAAAGTATGCAATAAAGTGGTATTAAAGTAGGGTTGCTACCTGTCCGGGATATACCCGGACAGTCCGGGTTTTGAATGCTGTGTCCGGGTTTCATGGCAGCTGTAACCTGGACACAAGATTTCAGGGAGACAGGGGCATCGACAGGACCCTGGTGTTTTTGGTTGTAAACAGCTGTGCAGCTTACACAGGATGGGACTGCAGCTCAGCTACAGAAGGTCTCCTCATGACTAAGTATGCCTGAGGACTGCGCTCTGATGGTTCGTTCTCTCTCTCTCCCCCCTCCCTCTCTCTCTTCCTTCGTAACAGACAGTTTATACTTTATCTCATTTACCAAGCTTTTATTGGTTGTCCTGGCTGCCTTTCCTCTCTCTCCCTCTCTCTCCCTCTCTCTCTCTATCTCTCGTGCCTGTCTCTCCCTGCTCTTTCTCCTTGCTGTCTCTCCTCTCTCTCTCCTGGCTGTCTCTCCCAGTTCTTTCTCCTGGCTCTCTCCAAGCTTTTGCTCCTCACTTTGTCTCCGGTTGTATCTTGTTGCTCTTTCTCCTGCCTGTCTTTCCTCGCTCTCTCTCCTGGCTGTCTCTCCTCGCTCTTTCCCCTGGCTGTCTCTTCTCACTCTCTCTCCTGGCTGTTTCTCCTAGCTTTCTCTTCTCGCTCTCTCTCCTGGGTGTCTCCCCTCACTCTTTCTCCTGTCTGTCTCTCTTCTGTTTCTCCTGGTTGTCTCTCCTCTCTATCTCTCCTCTCTCTGTCTCCTGGTTGTCTCTCCTCTGTTTATCCTGGCTGTCTCTCCTCTTTCTCTCGTGGGTGTCTCTCCCAGTTCTTTCTCCTGGCTCCCTCCAAGCTTTCACTCCTCACTTTCTCTCCCGGTTGTATCTTGTTGCTCTTTCTCCTGTCTGTCTCTCTTCTGTTTCTCCTGGTTGTCTCTCCTCTCTATCTCTCCTCGCTCTTTCCCCTGGCTGTCTCTTCTCACTCTCTCTCCTGGCTGTCTCTCCTCTCTATCTCTCCTCGCTCTTTCTTCTGGCTCTCTCTCCTCATTCTCTCTCTCCCCCTCCTGGCTGTCTCTCTTCTCTCTCTCTCCCTCTCTCCTGGTTGTCTCTCCCTGCTCTTTCTTTTCCTGCTCCTTACTCTTTCTCTTGGCTCTCTTTCTCTCCTGGCTGCCTCTCCTTACTCTTTCTCCTGGCTGTCTCCCCTCTCTCTTCCATAGCTGTCTCTTCTCTCTCTCCCTCCTGACTCTCTCTCCTCGTTCTCTCTCCTGGCTGTCTCTCCTCTCTCTCTTTCTTGGCTGTGCTCCTCTCTCTACCCTGGCTGTCTCTCCTCTCTCTACTCTGGCTGTCTCTCCTCTCTCTACTCTGGCTGTCTCTCCTATCCTCTCCACAGAAACCACTGCTTTTACATAGAGAGCAAGCATCATTCTCTGGAGAATGCTGGCAGGAGACAGATTTTTTTTACTCAGGCCGTGGCTGCTTTCTGAAGGTAATAAAAAAGAAAGGTTGTATGGGGTTTTGCAGCACAAATTTGCTGAATTAGCCATATAGATATTTGGTTTATAAGTGTGACAACATTCCATCCTACAGGATCATACCAGGGTATTGCCCATTCTCTATAACAGATCTTTCCAAAAATCTTTGGATTTTTCTAACCAAAAGAAAATAATTCAAGGACAACTATGGAAAAAAATTGAATTGTAATAATTGTATGCAATTAATATAAGTATTTTATTTTATTTTACACATTTACTGTACATGCAGACTAAGACCAAACACGTGCACGTTAACATGCCACAAACACAATGAATTGCATGTTTAAGAAATGTATAAAGCTTGTGACTCAAAGTGCTGCATGAGCTTCTTTGCTGTATTTGTCACAGCACCACCCATTATCCAAACAGAGAATGACTAGTATTCATTCATAGGAATACTAGGCGTTCGCTAAATGGCCACTGTTCCTAGTTAGCGGCCTGCTGTGTTTTAACTGCGGCGGGGAAGTCGCTTAGCACAGCAGCTGTTCCAGGACCCGAAGACGCTGGAATACACTGAAATTGCTTCAGCTACTACAGTGTTTTAAAGGATCCCCCTTGCCCTGCCAAGGATAATAAATATATATTCTTACATTGTAAGCTGGACGAGCTGAACCAATGTAAATATATATACATTTTTTTAGCTTGCGGCCTTCCACTTTAAAGGAAAATGTGTGCTGCAGCACATAATTATAAATGAGTCTGTACTCACAGTTTTTTTTTTAGACCCCTTGCAAAGTTCCACAAATTCCTCTTGAGCCTTCCAGTGAAATCCACCTTTGCAGCTGCCTGTGATGGGGTGGCAACAATGCTGCACTACTCCTGAATACAGAGCAGAGTTATCACTCTTGGGTAGGCTGTGTCTGCTTGCAATACAGTGGGATGAGAAAATGTTGCGGGGGGTGGTGGTAATCTGCATTGTCACTACAAACCAGTAACTTGTCAATCAGCTCCTGGCCACGCCTAGTTCTGTCCACTGTTTTCAGGATTGTCAACACTGCCTCTGTTGCTGAAAGCCTCCCATTGTGAGCTGCATGACCAAATGTTAATCTGCATTGTATGCTTGGAAACATTACCATCTCTGACCTTCAAATACCATCTGTTCATTCATATGCTGTATCCTGTTGCAGACACTTCAACTCTCCTGGATGTTCCGGGAGTCTCCCGCTATAAGATAGCGGCTAATGGGCACCCGGGAGAGAAACATTTTCTCCCGGAAAGGATCACTCTGCTTTATCTAGCAGAGTATACCTTTCCCCGCTATCTGTTGTTTTTTGGGGTGTTTTTTTTCTTGACAGTGGGGTCGCAAAGGTGGACCTGAAGTTCTCCATCAGGTCCTCCTCTGCTGAATGACAGCAGCAGAGGGTGGGTGCAATAGTCAGCTTTCTATTGGCTATTGCAAATTGAAATAGCCAATAGCAATCTAGCTATTCATTCCTATGCTGGTTTTTTTAAATGTTTTATTATTCTGACGGCAGCAGCTGTCCGAATACTAAAAAACAAAACAGCAGATAGCAAGGAATGCCATCATTTCAGGGGGGCGCTCTCTTCCTTGTTGTTGTGGGGGAGATGGAGGGGAGGGACAGAGGGCACCTCCCTGAAATGAGAAAGGCACCTCCCTTTCAGGTTGGGATCCCTGCTGTTGTCTGCTGTAACTCTGCTGCAAGCAATAAAGCAATTCCTGAATGAAAAGGTACTTGGAGACTTCAGCTTTTTCATAAGGATTGTCCGCAGTGATTATATCTGCTTATACAGGCCAGGCATAGAGGTCTCAGCAAGGGATAAAATCGCTAATACAACATTCGGAGTCAGAATAATTAGGAACCCAGCATGGGCTCTAACCCTTCCCCGCTATTTTCAAAACCTATAAGTTTTGACTATACAAAATGCATGCAAGATGTCCTTCGTTAAGCAAGATGAGTTTCTGCAACATAAATCTGTGAGCTATATTTCCCTTAGACTGAACTGAAAATAGACCCTATTTTGGTATCTGTAGATTAAGCTACTACCCAAGAAATAAAGCTCAAGTAAAGCCCATCTCCCAGATAATACTGTCTGCTTGATGTGGTCACTTTCTGTTGGTTCTCCATCGGAGGGGTCCTTTCAGGATTCAGAAGAGGACTTATGCTATCACAAAGAATAAGTAGGGGCACTAGCACCCAGAGGCAGAGCTGACAAGTATTCTGGAGAGGGGTAAGTATAACTTGCATCATATGTTAAGGAAAAATGTAAGCAAATCCTAGGATAGGTTATAGAGGTGGAAGGGAATGATGGGAGGCGGGTTATATCTTGCCCCCGGGGTCAGGGTTTAAAAGAAAAACTAAATAATAACCTTTCATACCGTAAAACTTTAATTGCCTACTATTTTGTAATCAATACGCTGCGTCATGAAAAAACAAGAGTCTCCTCATTTTTAACTAGTAAAATGTGTCCTTGGGCTTCCTTTGAAGGGCATTTCTGTGCCCCAATAACAAATACCATTAGCAGAAAAAAAGATTTAATGCAATGAAACTGTTTTATATAACTCTGACATCTAGTCACATAAAGCTTTCATTGTAATAAATGCAATCTGACTCATAAAACCAATTCTTACAACCACCTGCAGAATGTCTCTGGGTATATTTGTCCCTACATGTACAATGTATGAGAATTGGGGCCGGCTCGCATGTGTGAGGTCCAAGCACCGTAAGCTTACTATGGGTAGGTTTAGACTACATTCACAATTGATCAAGTCATCGCCTCCGGTCATTTTCTGGGCTTTTTTCTGCATACTTGTATGACCGTTTATCGCGCAGTTTATGGCTTGAGCAATTTTGTTTTAACCAATGAAAAGCTAGTTACTAGGACAGACTGTTGGGTGTGAAATTGCACGTAAACTACACATTATGTGTGTTTTCCAGGCGCTTCAATGGTTGAAGCCCATTGGGGCCACAAACGTGTGATCCTATCCAAAGAAGCTCATGTACATTTTGTTGAGTGTTGAGCAACAACATATCATTCAGAGGTGATCGGGCACAATAGAATAACATGGATATCTGAGTGTTGAGCGTCAAAGTACTTCTGGAAATGCACTTCAAATCACTCAGGTGCAAATAGGGGCTAAGGCATGAAGTTTTTGACTCCCCTACCTTTGCTTTAAACTGACCTAACACTATAGCCACCCAATACTTAACCTTCTTCTTGCATGAATCCTTAACCCTTAACTTAAACCCTGAAAGAATGCCTTAACTCTTATCCTTCCTTCCCCAAAACATTAAATTGTGACAGGGAAACACATATCTGTAAAGGAGAAACTTAATTTACCACTGCATCT